CAATATACATAACTATGTTTAACCATTATTATTGTACAAACTTATTGTGTTACTCCTCTTTCTTTGTCTAGAGCTTGTTTTCTGCTGGTTTGGAATTTTATGCATAATGCTGGCTAAACCTAATTCCATATAGGCGTTGTTTCTGATTCCACCGGAGGATCATTAACTTTTAAAGTAAACAACAGAAGTAATCTTCAAGCAATGTAGACATTTTAACTTCATATTTAGTCTGACTCATCACGACCTTTTACTAAGCTTTTGTACGTCACTGAATATAAAAGTTAGTAAACATAGTTTATTGCTTATTCCTTTTACATAGTGATACAAAACACTAAATGTGTTTTCATGATATTCTATTTCTCAAGATTTCATAACACATTTCAGTAAATATATTTCAGTTAGCATACAATTCTTGTATACTCTCTACTGAATTGTACACCATGAACTGAATTTTTACGTTTTTAACAAATGTCCTCCAGTGGGACAGTGGTAAGTCTTCGGATTTACAATGCTACAATCAGGGGCATGATTCCCGTAAGTGGATACAGGGGATAGTCTGATGTGGCTTTGCTAATAAATGTGTTTGACCATCTAATACAAATCTCCGTATAGATATGCTATCATCAGTGTATATAAGCAACATCACAAACTCTAAATAAGACTTTTGTCACACATACTGAAACATTTATTCACAAAACTTCAAGTATTAGATAGGGGATCTTGATCTTAGATCAACTGTTCAGATTTATAGCTAATCATTCATAGTAAACTTGCAAGAAAAACCAGTTAATAGATCAATGGTGATTTTTCTTGTAAATATTAGAAATAAGAAACCTTTTCATCAATAGAGCTGATATGTGCAATCGTAACTTTCTCTTTTTCAGGATGTGATGGTCCTGAAAAGAACCTCTAAATTTCAATTTTTTGAATAAAATAATTTATTTCAGATGAATATCCCTCATCTTCTCCATAATCTGGGCGAACCCTCATTTGAAAAATATGATGCCAATTTCTCAATATGCCTACAGCCCAATGTAATAATATATGCAATATATCCAAGTACTATAGCAAGTGATTAGTCAAATAAAATGTATCATTGAGAAAGAAACATAAGAGACAAAAGTGAATCGATCTAATATAATCATAGAATGTTTCTTCATTTAAAAACTCTATTAAACATATCATGCACTTGAAATCCCTATCTAAATTGACTATCCATGTCATGTTTGAATTTTGGGCAATAAAACTTTTGACTCCATCACTTATAGTTTGCTACTAAATCATGTTATTAGGGAGTACTTTTCGATTTTTAGCAGATATTTAATCATGGTAGCGACTTCTCATGAAATTAAGTCAAAATATATGGTTCATCTGTTATTTCATTGATTATTTTTATACATTTGTTTTTAGCATAACAATAAGAAAAGTACTTGACAAAATACTGGATCTCTACATATTATTTCATTAGATTTATCATTTAAGATTTCAGTTTGTATGCTCAGGAAAACAAGTTATCGACTATTTTACATTTCAAAATAGATTTTCCTCATACAAATATTGAGATTTGCAAACAATGTTACAGTAATGTGTGATGCATTATCTTTCACTTCACTTATACTTTATACAAGAATCGTCAAATATATTAATCGTTTATTTGTTAGTTACAAATCAGTATAATAATTCTTGTTTTCAATTATTACGTAACACAATATAGAACTTGTACATGAATCACAACTTTTGTACATTTCTACTTTATGACCATATTAGTACTTGTTCATTTCAGTTCAGTATATAAGATTTTTAATATAGATTATAAACGAAAAAGTTATTGTACAATTCTTGTATTATGCAGAGTTCATTCTACTTTACAACAAAATCATTTTATGCTCACTACTCGGTAAGGTTAAACTGTGCCTAACATACAGCAATCAGCCAAAAGCTCAGACAGGGTCAGTGTAAAAATACTCGGAAAATATAAGTTATACTCATCTTACATCCAAAAAGTAACTTAATTCTACTCTGTCCAGACTAAAGATCAAATGTCAGATAATTTTGTATGTCACTGAACTTAACGATCAGTAAAAAACGAATGTGTATATATTTATATTTTACTTTACATAAAGATACAAAAAGCTAAATGTACATTCATGACATTATCTTCCTCAAGGTGTGAGAGTACATAAGGAAGTTATTTTCTATTTTAAGCTGCTACTTTATGTTTTTAATTTAAAACTCGCATACTTGTAGTTTAAAGCTACTGTTGTTTACAATTGTTGTTTACATAGTCTAACTTCTTCAGAATGTAATCGTTTCGACATGTAAAGAAATAAGAGCAACATCCATCTTACTATTTGGGTTGTGTTCTTTAAATTTATCCTAGGAGTAAATTCCACTGACAGCTCAATAACATTTGATATTTAGGAATAACACAAACTGAAACATTTATGGATTATAAAATATTAGATTGCCAAGATTAGATTAACTTTCATACAATTCTAGTATATTTCAGTTAATATGCAATTCTTGTATGCTTCCTACTCAATTAGGCCCATGAAGTGAAAGTTTCTAACATCTATTAATTGTTAAGATTTATAGCTAAGCATTCCTAGTAAACTTGCAAGATTATTTATCAAAGACAAAAAGGAGATCCGTGTTTTCTTTTGAATTGTCCATCTAAACATATGGCCTTTCTTAAATTGGCATTTCACTTTACTAATATGTACTGCCACTGCAGTGTCAATTTTTGTCAGCAAAAAGAAAAAATTCAAGGATCTGCATTAAATGGCAGCTTAGAGTTCTCATGCTGAGACAATTCGTGCATGCAGCTGAGGTCCATAAAGTATACAAAAGTGCTCCAAGTTTCTGTTATGTTAATGGAGTCAACAGTGTCTAGAAGTGTTGAAATGAACATCATCCACTCTTGATAAAAATCTATCTCTTATTGGTAAATATTTATACAATACAGAGTCTCTTGCTGCTGTAGTGTCTATTTTCGTTGATGTAAAGAAAAATGTTTCATGAACCTATGTCCGACAGCAGCCTCAAGGTCTCCTGCTGAGACCGTCTGCATATGTGGCTAAGGGGATATAAAGTGTAGACAAATATTACAATAGTCTATAACATAGTTCTAGCCTATAGTAGGTTAGTCAAACACACAGTCCTCCTTTAAGTTACATAGTCACAAAATTTATATTCATTCTATGCTAAACCAAAATGTATGACGAGTTTCTTAAATTACAGAAGTATCCGAATGCATAGGAATAAGACCAAGACTGATAATATTTCTTTAGAAATCTTTCCTTACTGACCCTTTACTACAGATTTCCAATGGGAAGAAATGAAACAATATCTGGACTGTGCAACCAGTATACCAAGAAATTGGCATCATGTTTTTTTTTAATTATGATTCATCCAGATGATGGAAAAGATGAGGGATATTCATCTGAAGAAAATGACTTTGTTTGAACAATTGAAATTTAAAGACCCTTTTCATGACCATCACATTCTGAGAAAGAGAAAGCTATAATTGCACATATCACCTCTATTGATGAAAAGGTTTCTCACTCCTATTATTCACAGTGAAGATCAGCATTAATTTATTGTCTGATCTTCCTTACAAGTTTACTTGTCAATAAAATCTGGAGTCGATGTGCTTCGTTTCTTAGTTCTGAACACAGGACCTTTCTGTTTCTTCTTTTTATTAGATAGACCCATCTATTTGACATTTTGAGCCAAGTTTTAAGCTCCTTGTATTGCTCATCATTTCCCAGCATCAGCAAGAGATTTTCCTTGGATGACATCTGATGCTAAATTTATGCCTGACTGAACAGTTTATTTTCCTAAAGCTAATGCCCCTTCCTTCAAAAAAAGATATAGTTGAATGAAACACGTTACCCAGTACGTGACCCCATTGCCATTGACCAGCAACATGATGAGGTAAAGTTTCCCACTTGGTCATAGACATCTGGTTCGTCATAGTAAGGTACTCTCATGATGTCACAGACGACGAAAATAAAATGTTATGATGAGTCTCCTCTGTTCAAAAGAGAAGATCGACCCATGTCATCCTTTATATTTATCTCAATAGTTTAAACAGGTCTGTAATCAGGATTTATAAATGTTTCATTGATCATGTCTCCATCATGACCTATAATTTGATTGATTCGTATTAGTGGCGAATGTGTATTGCCAACAATACTAGATTCCACAATCTCTGAGTAAACACAAAGTGAATAAAATCTTCCATGCATGTTAACAGCATGTGGAGCTATAGTGGGCTCTGTTAACAGGTGATTATTATCAACTCCAAGAACTACTGATAATACAGGATCGAATAATATACAATTAGCTCCATCATTCATGTTCACCCTCACTTTTCGTTTGTCTTTCCATCCAGGTCCATAGATTAGTAGCCAGTCTTAAAAGAGGAAATGTTTATTACATTACATAACATCTACAAGTTAAGTCACAGTTACTAGTTCGTATTGTACTTGGAATCAGTTTAATCTGCAATTGTTTGTGAGGAGATACGTAATAAAAACATAGTGCCATCAGCTTCAAAAGGGCTTTTTTACAGAACTAGCATTTTGTAATTAATAAAGATACGTATTAAATGTTCATCTTCAATTATAAAGGGTGAATTTTGTGGTTAATAATGAAAATCTTTCGTATTCTCCAAGCATTTAGTTTACTGTTTAATTTGCTCAAAAATACTTATTTGATGTTTTCCAGTTACGACACCAGGTCTTGCTCTCCTCATAATTTGGAGAAAAGTGGTAAACAACCAGCAGAAAATATTGTCTGTTCACAACAGCCCCAGTGTGTGAATAGCACCAGAGTTATAAAAAACTCAAGATCGAATATTTCAAAATCCCAGACAAAACACAATGAGAAAAAAAATACTAGCAGTGAAAATATAAAAAACATTCCCCCTCCAACGTCTACTGCTCCTAAGGAACACAGCGCTACCTTCTCACTGGTTTCTTCTTCAACTGGCATATGCCGAGCCCTAGTTCATTGTGCTAGCTCCAAGAAAACCGAAGAAAATAAGGAAGAAAACCATGCTGACAAGATATTACCTCCTCCATACAGAGAAGCTCCACGAACCTTAGGACAAGATATTTCCAAATCTTCCTCTTCTCCTAGGGATACTTCACCAGATGGCATAACCACTTATGATATTCAGAGCAATATACCTTTATCTCAACGATCTAGAAGACGTTCACTCGAAAGACAGTGTTCAATCCCAACTGACTTAGCAACTGCTTTTCCAAGACTTTTAATGCTTGCGGCCGTAAGTGAGCAAAGTGAACAACTATCGTCTTGCGAAGAAAGTGATACTCAGGAAACTGGACCCGACGAAACTGGATTTCCAAGTAACTCAACAAGCAAAACGGAGAAGAGGTAAGTTATCTATTCATATGTTATCTTGTGAAGAGAGTGATTCTCAGGAAACTGGACCCGACGAAACTGGATTTCCAAGTAACTCAACAAGCAAAACGGAGAAGAG